AATGAAAGACGTCGTTGACAAAAATTTCAATATAATCGTTTAATAAATTCTAGGTAAATTCTAATTTTTATGGAAGTCAGTATACAGTAGACCGGAGTGAAAAACAGAAAAGTTTCCGAATCGAATTGTAATAGTGCGGAAAACTTTCTACTCGTTAACACGAATTCAGAGAAAAAAATTTTTTTGAAATTGGATCCGTTTGCGCATCGCATTCAAAGTTGAGGAATTTGAACAGAAATTGGCGGGGTATACGAAAAATCGTAGGAGATGTAAATGATGTCCGATCGAGCTAATTTTTCGTACATGGCATAATTTTCAAGTACACTACAAGAAAAAAAAAATGCCAACCCCTCCTACCCCACTCCCTCTCCAAACCGTGGAGGGGGGTGAAAAGGCAATTTTTCGTTAAGAATTGCCAGAATGCTGTGTCTTTTCCACTTTTTGAGGTAGGTTCCTTACTTATTGAAACGTGTTCTTCCTTTTGTACACGTTGGTATCGTTTGCCTCTTTTATCAACCAAGACTAAAGTCTACCATCGAAGTACACGCACATCGCACATTTTTTTCTCTCTTCTAATTTTACTTCTATCAACGATAAGAGATGTATTACTATCAGTAATAAGACCTAGGTCTTTGAGTACGTTAGAAGTAATAGCAGCTGTTGCTCTGTCAGACACACCAAATCGATCACGCAATTGATTTCAAAAATTCTTTTTTCTCTGATTGTGAGTTCGTATTAACGAGTAGCAAGTTTTCCGCACTATTACGATTTGATTCGGAAACTTTTCTGTTTTTCACTGCGGTCTAGTATACAGGCTGTCTCAGCGAGACCGTTCATTAGACGTTTCTGGGGTTCTGGCCAAACTAAAAATTTTCAGATTTAAGTATTATCAATTGCGTTCTCTTCGACTAAAATATTTTCAGATTTCTAGCACTTTCGGTTATACCGGAAGTCGCCACCTACTTAATTTTTTTAAACGGAACACCCTGTATATTTTTACATAAATGGATTTGTTTGTTTTCAAGGTTTATGAATAACTTTACTTTTTGCAATTTTATTCGGCTATTCTCGAGTTAGTCGAATTTTTCTAAAAAAATACTGTGGTAGAAGATTTTCTTGAGAACCTGTCCTTAAACTTGAGAAGCTGTTGGTATCACTGGATGGAGCTTCGGCCCTTTGCACCCCGGGAATATCCCAGGAACTCCTAGGATGTTACTCTATGGTGGGTTCTAGGTCACAGCAACATTGAGGGCAATGAGGAGGCGGACAAGCTGGCGAGCAACACAAAATTAACCGACATAAAGGAACAAGACCTTGGGGCAATAAGGTTCATTAAGGATCTACATTTGCCCTAAACTTTTGGAAGGCTACAGTTACAATAGATCTTATATGTCGCGGTAACGAGAGGGACAGCCCGGCAGCAATAGTAATAATAATAATCCCAGGAACTCACCGCAATATTCGAAGAGAGGTGGATAAGGCGGTTAGAACCGTGGAACTGGCCGGAAAGATCTCCAGACTTTGACGCCTGTGGACTTCTACCTTTCGGGACGTATCAAACATCAGGTCTACCAGACACCGGTAAATACGAGGGAGCAATTAGAAGCACGCCTGCGAGCAGCATTCGACAGTCTCTCTCCTCAACAAGTACGAAGAGCAACACTTGAGGGTGTTTCTTCACGTATAACACAGTGCTTGAATGCGAACGACCACCATTTCGAACATTTATTGTAACTTGTTTCTAGCTTTTTACACCAATTTTTTGTCATCTGAAGTAAATGTTGATAGATTGACTTTGCGTAAATATTATTTTCGTTGATGTTATCGATTTTAACTTTTTTTAGTACATACTAATATTAAGGCACATAACAAATAATTATTAGCTCTCATGCATTACGTGACGTAAACAAGTGATATTTTGACAAGGACTAATTGAGGAGGTTTGTTTTACAAGGCACACTAGTTATGATATGTGTGCATTTTTCAAAATTCCTTAATTATCTCCCAAACTATTAATGTTAGGTATAGTACATATCGGACATAAAAGATATAAAATCAGATGCCGAAGTAAAAAAATTAAGTTATGGTACTTCCAAATTTCGAAAAGTTAACGTGCCATAGTAAAGTGACCAAATGATCTAGACAGCCGTTCTCGGCATCAAAACATACTCCATCATGTTGCTTAAGCATGTTCTGAATCCTAAATTGATATACCAAAAATCGAATGTTCTCTGATTTAGTTAATAAATGTCTGCTAGAGCAGATTTTTTTTAGAATAAATCGGATAACTCGAGGACGGCCGAAGTTATTTATAAACCTTGAAAATATACAATTCCAAATATATAAAAATATATAGGATGCTCCATTTCAAAAAAATAAAGTAGGTGGCGACTTCCGATATAACCGGAAGTGCAAGAAATCTGAAAATATTTTAGTCGGAGAGAACGCAATTGATTCTGAAGTCTCAAATTTTTTGTTTGGCCAGAACCCCAAAACGTCTAATGAACGGTCTCGCTGAGACACTCTGTATACATTATGTTAGTTGATACAGATTATTAACACCGCTCCATTTTCAGATAGTTTGAAAAAAAAATAAATCTCCGTATACCATCAAGATTGGAAACCTTTATCCTTCATAATCATGGAATGTACTTCCTCATATTCATCTTTACTTCTACATCTCAAACACGTCGCACCGATTGCAAGCGATAGTATCGAAATTACTGAAAATACACGTTTATTTTGACGTCTTGTTGATAAGTAATTTACCACACGACGATTTACCATAAATCGCCAACTATTTCGTAGCTAATAGCATACACACTATGGCGCCGCAGCGTCCTCTATTGGCAGCTATTGACGTTGGGGTCACGAACGGTCGATAAGTTGGTATGGCGAGGTGAGCGCGCCCCCTCGCCGAAGTTATACAAATTAAAGCGCTCCGCTACGGCATCGTGATGTAGCCGTCACCATGGCGACCTCTGACCTTCGACGACCTTCACACTAGTTATCGTCTGGTCGACAGCGCCAACTCGAAAATTCGCGTGTGGCCAATTTAGGACTTACTTTGCACCTAATTAAGTCGCTATCAGTGACCGCCGTTGCTTTATGATCTCCAGAGAGCTATTATGGCTTTCAGAGGGAGAGTTAGACACGACCGATCATTTCTTCGGCTAGATCTTTGGGTGTGTGTTGTAATAATAGGTGGGTTAGTACTAAAGTAAGGACACATAGGAATATTTCGAGATGGAAAGTTGCATTAAGAAGAAAGATAATACATTATAAAAAATATACATAACTTGCATTTTTATTATTTGTTTATATCTATACATAAATATTTTCTATTCATTGAAAATGTTTTCTGGTGGTGTGATCTCCCCTTAAAACATTTAGTAAACCAAAACGACCGAAGAATGTCTAACAAGCGGGAACGAAAGTTTTTTTCGTTGTTTTTTTCACGTTGAATTCAAATAGCGAGATTTCGTGAGAAGCATGTCCGACACCTACATTTCTCTGTACAAGCTTTAGATTCACGATATTCATGCTTCATTTCCTCGCTTTGTGCGCGCCATCAGTCCGCAGGGGGCCATCGGTGCGCCGTTTTTTTCTCTTGGGCCACCGCGAATGGATAGAAATGTCAATTTCGGTTCGCCGTGTTCTTTTTTTACTTTCCAAATTTACTTTCAACCGCTTTTTCAAACCCTTCTCTGTTGCGTTGTGGTCTCAACTAAAAATATAAGAAAAATAAAGACCAAATACCTTCAGAGGCCGGAATACTAAATGATGGACTAAGGACGTCCTCTGCGCAACCTTCAAAAAGCAGTTTTTCGACGGACCACATCTAGAAGTTGAAGGGGTGTTCCTGGAATTCCAAGTTCGTATAAGCAACGTTGATATTTCAAGCACGTTTGGACTGTAGCATTTTATCTTCTTGTATTTGTACCATTACATATGTCAGATATTGATGACGCGATTCGTCCCATTCACAATTTCACTCATTTCTTGATAGTTTTTAGAGTTTGGTCGAAAATTGAATAAAATAACATTTTTTAAATACATTTTAAAAGAATGATTTATACTTTATATTGCATGCATATTTACACATTCATACATATATGAACAGTATAGTTGAAATAGTGTTTTACGTAACTGGTTCGTTAGAACTTTTTTAAGTTCCACTATTCGTACAATTTTGAAATTTTGGTTGTAGAGGTTAAACATCCGAAACTTTCGATCTAAAATACTTTCAAGATGGCCGTCACTTCGCCTACCGAAAGTAGACCACAACTTCGTTATTTTAAATGGAATGCTATAGTTTGATACTTTGATACAAGTTATTTTAATTTTAATTTTTTTTGTAAATTTGATCATGCTCTTTAAAACCCCATTACTCGCAAACTTTCATTCAAAAAAGCTTTACATTGGCACGATTACGCTTCAGATGATACCAAATAGATTGTCACTTGTTGTATCAGAGTATCTTATACAGGCTAGTGAAAAATTGAGTGACTATGTTTCCATGTTCAATGGCAAGAAAGTCGAAAATTTTAAATGGAACGCCTACCAGAAAGAGAATTTAATTCTCTACAAATCATCTATAAACATTCCTGTACCTATTTGGGAAATTTATCAAGACACGCAGGTAATGCCGGAAACCTGTTATATTTTTATTAGAAGGCCATGATATTTTGACAGTTTGTCGTTTAATTTATTTTTACAAATAACTACGATTGATAATCCTTTAGATTAGTAGCTTTTATTTAACTAAAATAACAAACAGAAGTGTTATGTTTTGTTACGGTTACAAAAACAACGCTCTAGATATTGATTAACTAAACACTTTATTAATAATATATCAACAATAATCTCGATACTCGGTTATTTGTTATATCTGATTCTTCGCGTCGTTTTCTCTCTTGTCTGAACTTAGCCGCACATATATCTGTCATTGTCTAAAAACTGTTCAATGACCTTTATAGGTGGTGGACACTACATCCCTCCTACACTGTATAATCTGAAAGATACTTCGGTGGTTTTCTTGATCTTTTAGATTTCCATGTTGTTATGGGAATTTCTTCTTTGCCAGGTGTTGAAGTTGTATCTGTTGGCGTGGATGTCGGTGATGATTCTCCTGATGGTGGAGTCGTTGGTGGTGGAATTGGTATTGGAGATTTGAGCAGTGGAACCTCAATCGTTGTTGAAAGTGTTGCTGGTGGATTTCTCGGTATCGCAGTTGCCATTGGTGGAGATGTTTCGACTAGGGTTGTTGGTGGTTTCGTTGTACTCACGAGTATCAAAGGGGTCATTGGGCGTGTCGATCTTACTAGGGGTTTCGTAACAGGTTTGGGAATCGGTTTGGGTTGTTTCGGGTTAGTTGAGGATAAACATAGCTTAAAGAATAATGAGTTCCTTATTATACATTGATTTCTTCTCTGCGTTCGGATTTGAGAACCTGTATTTATGTTATTGTATATGGTATTGGGTCATATTTTGGAGTTAGAGAATTCTTTTTCTGTTGTTTTCAGTACACTTTGTCATTTATTTTGAACTGGTGATGTCGCGTATTTCGTTTTAAGTTTGCTTTACCAATTTTCTGTTGATAATTTTCCATTTTATTGTGGTTGCTTTTCTCTTTTATTATGGTTGGTAAATACCCTTTTATCTCTCTGTTGAAAACTGCGCGGTATGGATTTCGATTTGTAGTAGAGTGTAGGGTACTTCTATAATTGGTAAGGAATTCTTGTAACTTATCTTCCATCTGACCTGACTCAAAATATGAGCATGTAAGTAATTTTTTTAGTGTTTTTACAAATCTTTCTGGTAGACCATTAGCTTCAGGCCAATACGGAGTTATTCGATTGTGTTTTATATTTAGATTTCTACAGTAGTTTTTAAACTCGCTTCCATTAGATGGTGCGCCATTGTCGGATTGGATGCATTCGGGTATGCCAAAGATTGCGAATGTTTGGTTAAATACTCTTTGTATATAAGGAAAACTTGTAGATGGTACAATCTCTACTATGGGAAACTTAGAAAATTCATCAATTAGTACAAAACAATACTTCCCGTTTTTAAATAGACCAGCATAATCTATATCAACATATTGACATGGATAGCTAGCTCTGTTTAATGATACGGTAGGGTCTCTTTGTCTATGAGGCGTTGTAATTTGACATGCTGTACAGTGTTTTATGAAATTTTCTTTTTCTTCTAGTGTTGGGAACCATACCTTTGTTCGAAGTAGACTTTACTATTGCTTGGTGTCCTCTATGTGCTAATCTTATGATCGAATCTTGTAAATTGCTGGGTATAATTATTTGATGTCATTTTAGTAATATTCCATTTATCACAGTAATTTCTTCTTTTATCTTGGAATAAGGTTTTAATTCTAGGTTTTGCCAAGGTTTGTAATCATTCGTTCTTATAGCCATTTTCAAAGCTTGTAATGTTTCATCTTGATCGGTGTTCTGTTTAATCTGATCTAACGATATCAATTTAGGTGTTGATGTGTTACAAATGAATTGAACATACTCTTCAGTTCTGTTTTTGGCATAATTCATGTTGCTTTCTGAAATCGCATATCTTGATAAGTAATCAGATGGATTACATGAGCCTTTTTGATGTACCACCTCAAATTTGAATTGCTGTATTTTTAGGCATAATCGCTCTAACCGTGCACTTGGAGCTGCTCTTGACATTTAACGTGAATGTCGTTCCAAGTAGATAAATTGTAAAATGTTGGATTGCCCAACACGCAGCTAGCGCCTCCCTTTCAAACTGGCTGTATCGTGTTTCTGCTCTGTTAGGGATCTGCTGGCGTAAGCAACAATCGATGTGTGTTTATCGCCTTGGGAAAGATAGCTCCTGGCCCCAAGGACTTGCATCAACTATCAGATGAGTAGGTTTGAGTATGTCATCATAAGCATAATAATTTGTCAGTACAACTTAATTGTTTCTTTAGGAACTGAAAAGATTGTTGATGTTCGTTAGTCCAAATCCATTTTCCCGATTTTAATATTAATTTCCGCAGAATTTCTGTATTGCTTGATAATTAGGAAGGAATTTTCCTACGTACGTTATCATTCCTAGAAAGCTTCTCAGTTGTTGTTGATCTTGCGGTGGTTTCCAGTTTAATATGCTCTCTACTTTTTCAGGATCTATGACAAAAATGACAAAAATTAGATTTGGATAAAAGATATAAATTTAAAATACAACTAAGAAATTTTTTTTCAATTTTTCGGATTTTTTTCTTTGTGATAGGCGTTAAGTTTGAAGTATCTCTCAAAGTGTTCGACACGCAAAATAAATTAACAAAATAAATTTCAAGTATCGGCGTTGGACTAATATACCATGGTGTTCAATGACTTACACCCGTGGTCAAATATTACTAATGACAACAATAATACAAACATAAACGAAAGACTGTCAAAATTCCATGGCCTTCTAATAAAATAACTAAACAGTTTCTGGCATTCCGTGCATGTTTTGATAAATTTCCCATGAGACGTACACTTACTACAAATAAAACGATGCAAGCCTCAATAAGGGATTTGGCCACTGACCAGCTTTTTAACAGTGGAGACGGGTGAGTATCGAAAATTGCCATAACAATGTAAGTCCGAACTTAGTTAGGGAAACGAAGAGAACAGACAAAAAAAGCAACTCATACACAAAATATGAATTGAATGAAAATACAATTGACCAAGTTATCGTTATATGTATAATAACAAATGTAATAATCGATGCAAATAAAAATGATAGTTAAACTTATAACAAAAAAATTAATTACCGTAATCGTAAAGAAAATTAACAAATTAATAATAATCCCAGGTGTACGATAAACACCATAAAAAAATAAATTACGCGTACCGATTCGGGTAGCTACACGGTATAACCGGAAGTGTTATGAGAATGCAATTGACTATTTCATTCATATCGTTAACAGCCAATAAGAATTCGCGGTTTTCCGTCAATTGCGAGTATTTCAGCGGTTATTTGGCCGTAACCATGGAGAACGATAATACGAACCTTCGTATTATCGCTGTAATACGAACCTTTGTATTATCGCTTGTTTGACATTTAATTAATTTCGAGACATCCATGCATGTTTCCATAACAATCAATGTAATTTATTAAAAAAATATTAAAATTCTAAAAATTTGTGTATTTTTTATTCATGAAATAGTCTAGCCATATACAACACGACAATCGAAAATACTCGAATCTCAACGTATTGCCTTAAAAAACACCACTCGACCTTCGGTCTCGTGGTGTTTCAGGCAATACGTCTCGTATTATCGAGTATTTTCGATCGTCTTGTTGTATAATATATGATAATACTTAAATCTGAATTCTTAAATTTTTATTTTGGCCAGAACCCCAGAAACGTCTAATGACCGGTCTCGCTGAGACATCCTGTATAGGGTAAACCAATACACAATTATTGGACAATGACAGTTATTGGACAGAGAGCCTATCTCAATAATTTTTAAGCGTTCCACTTTACTTTTAATACCGCAAGAAGTTTCATGCTGCTCCATCTATCATTAGCAATAGTATTCTACTTTATTACAAAATTTTTAAACCAAATAGTCCGTTAAAAAAAAACTGTAAACACGTCTCAAAACAACGGGTTTCTTAAGAAAGTGCTAAGAAGTTTGCTTGTGATTAAAAAGAAACTATAACTAATAATAAACAAAAACCTGCTAATTGACTGTACACCGCGTCAATATAATAAATAACGGTTTATAAACGGTTTTAGGGCTTGTGAATTATACCCTTTCGACCCTAATGCTGTTGACTACAGTAAATACTTAGGAAAAGACGTTAAAATAGACGATATTAATGTGGATGAAGATAATAAAATTTTAACCTATAATGATTTTGTTAAAATTATTGCACATGAAAAAGTCCAAAGATTGTGATGAGAGTGATGAAAGTTTTTGGAAGCTTTATCAAATATGGCAGCATTTTAAACAAAACAATAGAAAAACACCACCGAAAAATTAACTAATGAAGAAGTTTTACAAGAAGTCAACGAATAAATAATTTCGCAAAATAGCTATGACTCTGGAAAAATTAACCAACAAACGCAACCAATAGAAGACTCTACAGTTGTTATTCACAACAAATTAACTACAAACTCATGACCGGTAGTGTCCAATATTCCCAAACAAGTAATATCAACGACTACCTCATTTATCCTGCGTCTGCACACTTCTCAAAAATACAGGGACTTAAAATAAGAAAAAGAGAGCTGCAGGAAAAAATGCAAACTCAAAAAGAAGAAAGAAAAAGAAAACGTGAAGAAAATAAGAAAGCAAAGTTAATAAAATCAAAAACGTTCAAAAAAAATTTTTATATGTGATGGCTGCAAACAATACCGCGACAAGCATTGTGTTCCAAAAATACATAAACTGCACATTCCAGATGAAGAAACTGTTGATTTATTTTTATGCCACATATGTTTCAAGCAGGATGATAGTTCTGAAAATGAAGAAGTTATGGAAGATGGAGAAGTTACGGCAAATGAAGATATAGGAGATGAAGAAGAGGCCAAGTTTTCAAGTAGTAACTAATTTGATTGAAGAAAAAAAAATTGGAAAAGATATCAGAGAAGTGCCTATGTAAATGAGGCCGATGAAGTGGAGGTAGATGAAATGTATAATAACGAAAATATTGAAACTAAAACTAGAACTAACACTAGCACTATCACTAGAACTAACACTAGACCTAGAACTAGAAACTTTCGGGTTAAGCCGTGCGTTTTTTGAAAAAATTTTTGGCGTTTCGGATGCCGTGTTGCAACCTTCTTCAGAAACAAGTTCGAAGTAGTTCTAGGTCTAGTGTTAGTTCTAGTGATAGTGCTAGTGTTAGTTTAATTAACACCGGCCTGTTAAAGCCTTCGTACTTATACGAAAATATTTATTTATTTATAAGTTTAAAGTTTAAATTTATCTAAAGCGTGATAATAAATAAAATATAAGAATTTCCTACTTATTATTTAAAATTTTAGAAGATTGGTGATGTTGAATTGGTCGTAAGTTATACCACTCTGAAACTTGATTTTGGTACGTATGGAAACTCTGTCAAATGTTTGAATATTTTTAAACTGCAAATGATACTCATGACATAATTTAGAAAATGGAATGACATTTTTTGAATATTAATAAATTAATTAAGTTACATATTTTGAAATTATTGCGCTTTTATAAATTTAATATTCAACCATTTATTGACGAACGTTTTGCAGATTTTATCAGTGCTATACAATAATCGTAGGAAAATTGGGTGTAGGCTACTCTAGTTAATTATCCATTGTAATCATGACGATCGTCGTTCTTATGCAAGGTGATTCTCAACCTACACGCATAAACTTGTATATTTATTTGAACCCTGTATGGTTGTTTTTAGTAATATTTGGTGTAACCAACTGTGACCTAAAAAGTCAATCTTTAAAATTGTTTGTTTTTTACTCCACCAAATTTTGCGATAAGCATTTTTCATGATTCGACCGTAGGTAACTGGAAAAAGTTTCGAAAATTCCTCCCGGTTAAGATCGACGATAACTCGTAATCCGTATCAGTTTCCATGCGCGTTTGGAGCCGACGCGCCATTATTTAATAATAAACCATCCAAATACGGCGTTTGCTCGCGTATGCGACCGCTTAATCAAAGACATAAACCCTGGCCCGGTTTCCTGAGAGAAACGATCTCCGCTTTTGCATATCAAACGGTTATAAATGAACCGCAAGGGTCCGATTAATTACGAGCCTCCGGATGGGAAGAAATTCGAGGAATTTCAGTTGACGTCCTTGAACCGTCACATCCGGGTTTCAAGAAAACGGAACGTGGTTTTAATCAAGTTGTTAAATTTATGTTTTTATACCCTACAATCAAGAAATAAAGAAGGATTTATATTGGAAAATCATAAAAAAGATAAATCTAAAAGTTAAAGTTTTTAGGTTATAATCAAACATGTTTGGCAGGTCCGTTTTACCGTAGAATAATAGCAAAATCTGTCAAATTGTACGTTCCGGCAATAAATTTATTATTTTATTGGCTGTCCAATGTTGTCCACGTGTATCGCTCTTATTGACAAAATTCTTTACATTTCAGATACAAACCGACGTACGTCTAGGCCAAGGTAAGAAAGACTTTCGTATACGTTCTATGAGGATAGTGCGTGGATTTACCAACAACGATTTCCGGACAAGAGTACTGCAAAATGCAGAACATTTGGTAATATTGAAAGACAGATACTTTAAACCGAAAAGGGATTAATGCTGCCTACCCCTTACATCTTGGAGAGCAATAAAGCTTCTTCATATTTTTATATCCAATTTAAATCTTGAAACCAGTACAAAAATTATAGGACATTAGTTACTATCCTACAAGTTTTGTAATCAAGATTATTAATAAAACAATTCCTCCATCATATCGCATCCAATATACACGTCGTCCGACCATAATAATAGGTCACATTTATATGCAATTGTTTTCGATCATAGAGCTGAAGGCTGTTTGTTATCCTCTTAACATTAAAATAATTTTTGAAATT